GAAGGGCTACGCAGTAATTATAGTTTCGTAGCACTGCTCTACGTCGTAGCCGTATGCTTCGTAATAATATACATAATTATGTAGTTTATAAATTATATTTTGAAATGAATAATAACATACTCGAAACGAAGGTTACTAAGTATAAATTATTGTGTGAAATACCTCTAAATATCAAAAATTAATCATGTCAATTCTATTATATTTATTACCCGTACTCATAAAGAAATATTTTCTAATTTATTTAATTGTAATAAACGGTAATATAGTGCATACTTTAATTAAAGTTATGTGCAATTGCACATGATCATAATTTTGTAAATCTTTCTAAGATTAAAATGCATATTAAACTGTCAAACACCAAGCGGTCACCGGTGACCGCAACCTATTGTTCTATAATTGTGTCTACAAAACCGGTACTCGACGAGTTAAATAAATATTTGCGAAGTTTTTTAAGTGATGACCAACCAAAATCTTTACGATCGAAAACATAAACAGAACTGGAATAAAACTTACTGGAATGCTGTCGAGATGAAACATGAAAAAAAAATTGCTGTCTACCTTCCAAATGTAAGTAGTAACATTCCAGTAGGTATCTATTGAATTGACAGAAATATTACGGCAATTTATAATTTCATTACAAAGTTCATAGTTTTGGCCGTTTCTTAATCGAACTGAACTAATAATTCTGTAATTAATGAAAAAAAAAAAGAGACAAATTGCTACTATTTTTTGAGAAATAATGTATTATTCATATCAGTTATAATTATGAACTGATTGACAGAGACTATGAGACAGCACGGCGAGCTTGGCCACTCCGGCCGAGCTCGCTGAGCCGTCTGAATTGCGGACACTGTTCGCACATCAAGGGAACTACAGTCCACCGACAAAACACAAAGTAGTGGGGGAACCTATCTCCCTTTAGACGATCCTGTATCATGTTAAGTGTGTCTCAGAAACGAATTACATCTCGAACATATATGTAAATAGATGTAGCATCGTTTTTATTACTTTGTTTCCTTATATCATCAAACGAAACTGTAAATATTGTGAGAAATTATACTATTATGGTAACAAATTTTCTGTTTCAATACTTTTTTATGATAACTGCAATTATGGCCGAAATGGTGTAACGCCAATAAAACTTACTATTAATTTGTGTTATTGTACTTATACTAATCTTTAGAACCACAAAGCTATGTAACAAGTCCTATGTACGTATTAGGTACACCCCCCGTTGGTGGTGGTCGTAGTGACTCACAATACGATCAGTGAAACGTGTGTGTTATATTGTATATGCATCTATGCATACTCCTTTGGGGGTTAAAAGAGAGTATCGTTATTTATATTTGAAGTTACCAGTGATGTCACGATTTATGTTTACAGAGTATTCCATGAAATGTGTGATGAATATATATACTTATTAGTGTTTTGTATCTAGATAAATTTAATTTTTATAGATATGTAGATAAAGAATGCTTGGAATATTTTTTTTTGCTTTCGACTTATGGAATTTGTGAGGCTAAATGTTATGCAAGATTAAACCGTAAATATTTCCAAATAAATCGAGTTTTTCTTCTTTCACGATATCCCCCACAATATGTGATATAGAATTACACAAAATATACTAAGTACTTATGTGAGACAGTGTTTTCGTTTTGAATATAGATTATAAATTAAGTGAAAGACTAACGATAAGAAGGTCAAACGTCAACAAACAATAAATACTATAATATTCCTGATAGTATATTTAAACCCTATGTGTAATAATTTAACAATACAATAATTATACTCTCCAGTAGTAAGATACATTTAACCTGTGTTATGTCGGAATGTGAATCTACGCGAGACACAATGTACTTTCTATTGTATCTCATGTCCGGCACTCAAGAGGTTAATGATTACTTAAATTATTCCTTAGTAACGGTTTTGTTACGTAAACAATTGTCAAGGACTGGGTTAAGCAACTATAAAATGACTCTCGAGAACAGCGGGTAACGTTTAAACGTTAAAAGTGACACTAACATTTTCAGGGTAATAAAGATAAGTAATGACACCTCAGACCTTTACCCAGGCTCACTCACTCATATTCTCACCCAGGCTGGAGAAGTCATTCGATTATCTTCCCCCTTAAAAAAATAAGACCTTTATTCGTTTCTATTTAGACTTTTAGGGACGCCTGTATAACACTGTTCATGATTTCATTTCATAATAAGTAAATTGTAATTATGTGAAACCGAGCAAATTATTTTAGGTTTTTATTTAATGCCCACCATTTTTCTTGTTTTTAATAAAACTATTGTTGTATAGAAAACTATTGAAACATGGAAAAATTAATGCCGTAAGCACCTATAATTTAATTTCAGATAAAAAGTGTGCACTATTATATTTCATTGTACACTGAAAGTAATAAAAGATTGTGAAATATTTTATAATCATTTTATTGACGAGTTTTACACTTTTTTCTAATTTCTACGACAACGGTTTTTTCAACTTTCTACGACAACACATTATGTTTCTATTACAACACATTTTAACTCAACTGATAATGACACCACAAGACAAAATTAGCCGTTTGTTGAACAAATATAAAGAAAATATCATATTTTTTAATAACTGTAGTGAGACGAACAAACAACGGTTTACCTACGTACTTATATACAAAACATAGCTGCTCATGAGCAAGAGTCATAGAAGAACTCTTGCTTATGAGCAGCGTATGCGGTGACATCACGGCCTCTAGTGACTTGAAACTAAGAGAGCTTTTTTTGGTATATTTACGTGAGTAAACCGTTATTTTTAGTTACAAATATCAATTAAAATATAAAATTATGTTGCGATTACACATTTCAAGTAAGTACCTAAAATGATCACTAAACCCAACCTAAAATGTTCACTAAAAGATAAAAAACAGGTAATCATGGTAAGTACATATTAAAATTAAAGTAAACTTAAACTCTGCATAATTACATAATTAATGGGTTCTACAGAATATAATTACATTAACAATTAACTTCATCAATAACAACATTTAGAGCAGTTGACATCTATTTTAAATAGCTTCAGAAAAAGAAAGTGCTTCGCACCAGAATAATTAGAGAACCAAATCTTCGTTGAAATTAATATAGGCATTTTTCACAATGATAATCAATGATCTTAGTAAGCTGCTTATATTTTGAACAAATATATGTTCAATAAATCCATAATGGACAATATTCCATTACAAATCATAACTAAAAATAAGAGAATTATTTTTTTATGTAATCTATTCGTGGGTCTTACCAAGTACAGTAGGTTGTTTTTAATATGTGTTGTGAACTTCTGTGTGAAACTCAAAAGTCCCATTGTTATTTAGTAAGATTGATTGATAAATAAGTCAATATATGATGTCCTCTTCCTTTTGGAAAGAAGAAGATAAAAGGACTGTATTAGTTTAAAGCAGTATAGCGATTAACATTTCTATTAACTTTGATGTCAACATATTTACCAACTAAAAATGATACTATATATATAAGTAATATGAGTATAACTATTTTAATACTTAGCTTCAAGAACCTTGATAAAATCAATCCTTTGGGCCTTCTATTATATGGACGCATTAGATATAGTATGTAAGTGACAGAACCGAAAAATATCCGGCTTTCGAAGACTTGGTGCTCGTCGTACTCAGGTGGACTTCAGCTTTCGAGAAGCCCAAATATCACCAGCTCCTTCAACAAAAACACAATATTTAATCTTTGTTCCTGAGAAATCGATACTTGCGTCACGAAGGCGTTAATTTACAATACCTGATCAGGGATGGCCGGAAGCTGGTTTTGTGCTATACCACTGCGACTGGAAATTTTGACACTGATTTAAGTATACGATGACTTGAATCTCCAAAAATTAAATAATGTTTCGACTCACGAAGGCGCACATATATGGATATCTGCGTGAGCCAAAAGATCAATACTGTCTGTAACAAAAAGTTACCATGAAAAAAAATCTTACTTCAAGTTTTCGTATAAGTTATGATTATATAAGATAAATCGAATTCGAACGAAAACGGTACTATGACGATACAAATAAAGCGTTTTCTCAAATAAAATCATAAAAACCTCGTTATGAAAATATGTTAGTAAAACCATTCAAGTATATTAGTAATACATAACTTCCGTTTAAAAATATGTTAATCAGCAATAAATGACGTTTCCGCTTTTTTCTATCAAAAAATTATTTACAAAATTTTCACTGAGTATCTTTTAAAATAATATATAACAGTATTTAGTCGATTATCACATTATTCGTAATCAATCTTTACTTGTTTCAACCATAGACGAAAAATTTCTTATTGTAAACAAGCCGACGACCAACCCTACGAATACAATTAAAAATAAAACAACCAATAATGTTCTAAAGCTGAGTATACACTCAACCAAAACAAGCCACGGTTTAGTATACGAAAACTGTAACTGTTTTTTTATTCATTTGCTAAAATAATTCACTTTTATACACATTACGGTCAACTAACCGTAAAACTATTACTATTCTGTCTACTAGTGAGTACTGAGCGAATTGTTTTAAAGACGGTAGTATCACTGTATGAGACCTATTGTCTCTTCACTTCTAAAGAATAAAATTGTTAAAAGACGACACACTTATAATATTATAATATTTCAATGTACACACCTTATGACATTTTGTATATTCACAAAGCAATAATTTATATATTGAATATTTTTATATCAACATAACAACATTTCAACATTTCAATTTGCTATCCGATATCCTCATTAAGTTACGAAAATAAAGTATTCATAAACTTTTATACTTCTCTTCGTTTGCTTCATCGCTGTATCGTCTCAACACAAATTATCAAAATTAAATTGTTAACGTTAAAAATAATGTTAGGTTACCACGATCTCTGGCTAGACTGTATGCATCTTAACTTACTTTAAAGCGCTTGATTTATGTATGCGAGTCTTAACTGCACATGCGCGAAAAACCAATCGATATATCATTTGGAAAACGCTGAAAGACTAACTCTAACCAGAACTTATAATTTTAACCAGATTTACAACAACTTGCAAATATTTACAATGAATAAACTTAGACAAGGTCAGTACTTAGCATAAATTTCCGTAGCTAGATAGCCACGAGCATGCGTTACAGACATTGTGAAAATTCGAGCAGCCATTGTGGAGCGGTACATAGATACGTAGTATTTGGATTTATATCTTCCGACTAACAGCTGCGCAATATGTATGTCAACATGTCACGTGCATGGCGAATTATTACTATCCTTTAATACGCGAATGTCTTTTGTTAAAGGAAACACATCTAACAATTAATGACCTTACCCAGTGGTCCAATTATGTAGTTACATTACTACGTAACAATAAGTTTTTTAAGGGTAGGTGGACAGGGCGGCAAACAAGGAGCCACATCACCTGATGGTAAGCAATCTGCGCCGCACTTGGACACTGGCAACACCAGAAGAGTTGCAAATGCGTTGTTGGCATTTTGGAGATTTGGAGATTGGAGATTACATTTAGAGATTGGAATTTGGGGTTGGGGATTAGGAATAGGAATAGGGTGAGAGTGGGCGGCATCTTATCGTATCGCTTTATTTACTCCGTGAAATATAACGCAAGCGCGGTTTCATACTAGTTTTCTATGAGGTTATGATATCACTCCAATTGAGCCGGTAAATCTGTGCCAGAGCATGGCTCTTCCAAGTGAATCATCATTATTTTCGTGCTTTCCAGATACGGAAGCAAAAGATAAGTTGAAGAAAAAGAAGAAAAAGAAACATAACGTAAACAAGCAAAAGAAGAACTCTGAGCCAGTAAATATATCGGCAGAGCTTGTGGCAGCCCTTAAAGGTCTTCGCCTTGACAGCAAGCCGAAGGCGAAGGTAAAGGCAAAGACAAAGAACAAGAAGAAATGTAAGAAATCCAAGCCAAAAGCTATGGTACAAGATCAGGTCGCAAGTACATCAGACCAACCGACTTTACAAAAAGAACCTGAACACTGTGCGTGGAATTTAGATTGTAGTCACGTCACCACGTATCGTCCTCCTTCAATGTAAATTATTATGTTGTTTCGCATTCTACGTGTTATGATCAATGTTATATTAGTTACATTTACCTATTTATGTGAATTTTTATATTTTGAACGTTTGGAATAGCTGTGTCAAATAGTTCGTAACGTCATCGTTGTTGTTAAGATATGAATGTTGTTCGTAATTGTTGTGGTTGTTGATATTTCGCTTTTGGAAAATTTTCTATGTACGAGTTGTTAATGAAAAGAAGTCGTCGCCTAAATTTTTTCTAAAGCTTTGTTAATAATATTTTATTTAAATTAAGATACGGAATAATGAAACACACTCACCAGGTTAATTTAATGTTTAAATTCTATAAAAGAAAATGTTCATGCTGAAACTGACTTTCCTCAGATAGGCAATCATTTCAGGGATATTTAATTATTAATGAAGATAAAAGTATATTACGTTAATGAACATTTTCCCTGGAGTCATAAAATTCCGACTGAGCTTGTTATTGTGGTTAAATACCTATGGAGGATGGGGCCTCTAATAACCCTTGAATCTAATAGTGTTTATATTATTAATTCTAGTACAAAATTGTGAAAAAGTCTATTATTGTCTCTTAAATAAATTTAAATAATATGGTTTAGTTTTATTCAAGATTTCCTTTTCCCACAGAATATTAGTAAAAGTTCTATAACACTCAGATTTTTCTCTAAATTAACAATATACATTTGAACTTGTGCTCCTTTCAATTTAAACTGAATAAATTGCTTAAAAATAGTGTAGTGATGGCCACACATACCTAGCTAGAGGTACATACAGGGTGCTCGGTGCATCGCGTGCCAAATTGAAATGGTCGACTGAAGGGGTCATTGCTATAAACACCCCTCATGATCTGTGGATTTTTTATCGACGTTTTATTTCTTCTATCTCTTTCTTGCATACCTTAAATCGACTTGAGTTTTTAGGGAACACAGAGTAAAGTTCCCTGAGTAAAAGAAGATCCTTCGACTAGGCGAGGTAATTGTGTCTGATGGCTTAACAGATTATCCATTTTATCAACAATATCAATTTAGCCCACGATTTACCAAACACCCTGTATATTTATTATAACAAGGTATAGGAAGGAATATTATCACAAATTTTGAATACAAATTTCGGGGTGACCCCATAGCTATAATAACATATATTTCTGTGACGTCACCAAAATATATTTTGTACATTAATATATTTAAACCGATATTATCGCAAACCTAAAATGAATATTATGGTGTAGCTCCGTCTGTGGTAGCTAGCTGTCCTTGAATATATAGCTCGATATATTAATATTAATATACATTATAGCTAGGTTTGGGACGGCGTTTATTGTATATTTTGCATATTTTTGGTGTGTACAGTTTTATTTGTTTTATTATTATTACTCTGCGTACCAGTTTATCTCTATATCCCCAATAATTGCCTTGCTGGGAGTAAACGAGATATTAATTATACTATTTACTGCTCACCAATTAATATATTTTCAAGTAAATATGTTATTCTTGAATGAACTATTGTTACTATCTTGTTTGTTACTAATATTTGCAAAAAATCCTTTTATTTTCAACGAATTAGTGTTTCCGAACGCAAAACGTCTTGCCAAAACAACTGCTCCAAATCTGAATAATGTATTTATTTAATACCAAAATTAATTGACATTAGTAAATTCATAAACATCGTAAAGGTAAATAACAGTGAAAGATAACATTATAACTTTAACATTATAACTTTTTTATATAAACAATGAGACTATCCCTTTTTACACGCAATTTTGTAAAACCTGGAACGCAACTAAAACGACTTCGTTACACCAACAAAATGAAGTACTAAATAATAAATAATTATGATAAGAAAGGTATTACAATTCTTATACAACAGCCCATTATGTTTCTATTACAATGTGTAATAATAATACTATATTTTATTAAATTTCAAGAGTACAGACAAAATCAGAAATAGAACAAATCACAACAATGTAGTTTACTACATTATCTTCCGATCTCCGTTCTTGAACGGTAAAAATATAATAATTCATAATTAACTAACGCAGTACTTATGTTGTTTTAATAAGATTTACCTATAAAATTCTCTTGTGCTGGAAATAGTCAGAATACGGAACGTTTGTTGCTTTGTTGAGCATTCATAAGCACATAATTTCATAGTGGACTTTCTGGTCACTCGAATGAATATAGCCGCGAGTGTCAAGATTTATTTTCTTTACGACGTAATTCTTTCGATAGTCATTTGTAAACGAATTATATGGTACCTTAAAATAACAGAGAATATAATGATTTTCAATATGATATCATTATTGGAAAATAATTGATTGAAAACATAATAAATGTCAATGATGTTTTGATAATAATTTGGCGCCATCACAACCATAACCTATAAAATTCAGAAAAGAAAAATGCGAGAATATAAATATATGCTGTGGTGGCATTAATGAAAAAATATGTTTGTGTTTTTCTTGCTTAATACTACTATGTGTGCTATAAATATTAAGCTAAGGTGAATTAATAAAAGGTGAGGTTATGTTACGACCCAAAGAATTTATGTTTATTATTGAATATTCTGAATTGGTCGTTTCAGAATATGTTATTCTACATAACTGGCAATGTACTTCAGGACGCTTACAGAAAAAATTACTTTGTTGAAATAGCTTCATTGAACACATTTTAAATATTTATACAGTTTTCCAGGGCATCGACTTTTATTGTACGAGGGAAAAGGGGTGCTATTACCTACACTTTACAATCTACTACGTTAATCATTTCTATTTAATGAACGAACCTATGACAATATGTTGCAGATGTATTACAGATGTGCAGTTGCAGGAAGCTCATTTATGGTTTTCCAAACTCCGACTAAGACAAGTTTATTACTGGTAGCTACAAAATAGGCGCAGTGGTGGCGCAGCAGTGGATCCGTTTAGACGACCGTCAGGTAAGGTATCTAATAACCATTACCTAGTCACGTTGTGGAAAATCAAAAAAATCTATGCATAGGTATTTACCAAAGAAGAACACCAACACAAGCAAATTAGAACGACATATTTCTGATAACATTGCTCGTTTATTTAAATAAGTATAGAAAAGCAGTTATTATTTCGAGTTGTTCACCAAGTTTTAGAAGAGGTAATTAATTAAACAACTTTGAGAATGTCTCAGCTGGAATAGTCGTTTTTCGGACAGCTTGACTATTCAAGCTGTCTTTACTGCCTTTGTACCTATGTACAAAGGCAGTATCAGTTTTTAGTTAATATTCAATGATTGTGGATGGTTTTGAATTAGCTTAAAGAAAATAATCAGCACTACAGAAATATATAAATTGAGTACTAGAACGTGTATTTTAATGTTACAGATATGTGCCGCAGCTGACTCCCTTAAACGGCACTGAAAGACCCCACATCGATACGACTGCAACAATTCTTCGTTTCGACATTTAAGTAAGTTAGTCGTGGAAATCAATCTAATAATATTGAGAATGAATATCTCAGACCTCATGAATTGGAAATAGATTTGATGTGTTTCTGCGTTATTCATTATTCACATTTATTTGAAACTTATAGTGTATTAATGATTTTCATCACTATGATTTTACTTTTATTTTAGTCTCTGCCTACCGCCATGGAGACAAGCGTGAGGTTATGTATGTATGTAGTCATTTTTATTTAAGAAATGACTATTGTGTTAGATGGTACCGTAAACAATGTCTTGATACCGTAAATTATGTATTATACAGTATAACCATTAATTTCGTATTGAATCTAAATTAAAAATATTAGTCAAAAAAAGTAACGCCAGATGTAGACTTTTAATGGTTACTATGTCACTTTTCAGGCAGAAATCCAGAAACCGTATCTCAAGCTGATTGATGTGAGACAATGGAGACCACGAAAACGTAAGTATATAGATTCTATAAATTCTGATCATTATTATATTTATGTATACTATACATCGCCATCGTGTTGAGTAAAATTGATTCATTACTAACATTCATTAATATTTTTCTTGTTATTGTCTCCCATTGGATTTATTCCACTTTGTTCACCTGGGTGATATCGCCAACGTAAACAAAGTATACTTTTTGGTGTCCTCAATTCGCCTAGGAATTATTTCTGGGTGAATTGAGGTGACTCAAGTAGTGTCCTTTGTTCACCAGACAATTAATTCGCCCAGGTGCATAAAGGTGACTTTTTACTTTTATGTTGTCGACTTACACAAATCCTTATCCTTATCCTTACTAATATTATAAATGGGAAAGTGAGTTTGTTTGTTTGTTTGTTTGTTCCACTTTCACGCCGTAACTACTAAACCGATTGCTTTGAAATTTTGCAGACGTAAAGTTAGAAGTCTGGATTAAATAATAGGGTACTTTTTATCCCGGAAAAAATGTATATTATCTAGGGAAAACGAAATTATTGGTATAGATGGCGCTGTGTGTATTGGTATATGTCACATAGGCTACTTTTTATCCTTTTGTGACGCGAGCGAAGCCGCAGGTAAAAGCTAGTCTAAAATAAACCTAAATAAAAACATTCAATTTAACATATATTTTCAAAATTCAATTTAATGTCTATTACACATACAAAGATATATTACGATTTCTAGCACCACACTTCAAAATTCCCTATAGTACGGGGAGCCTATTGCTATGTCAGTACATTTATACTCAGTATTATTCCAAATTTCCATAATATTTTATGTGTGTTAACATTATCGTAATAAAAGTATATCAGTGTACAAGAGTTATCGACTTCATTTCTACAGTCCATTTGCTCTCCACAACGACCTAGCTCGTCAAGGACTGATCCACAGCCTGATCCCTCCGAGCCCGCACAAATAGCTAATAACACTTTGCTCGACCCGGGAAATGAAAACGGGACCCAGGTTCGGTAGCCGTACGATGAGGTTGAAATAGAATATGGACGAGTTGAAGTAACAAAAATGTATAATAAGGAAATATTAATGTTATTCGAAAGAAGAACACTAAGTACATTCAAAATTTAAATATTGCAGCGTTTAATGGTGGTCCACATCTGGGGTATGTGCCTCTCGCGAGCCATTTGCGGGCTGCCAGTTAGTTGCGCGCGTCCAGTCAGGGCAATGGTGCTCAAGTCATACAAGGTTCGTATAAGTAATAATCTTAAATGCATGCGCGCATCTCGCGGGTGAATCGCAAGCGGATTGAGAGCGGCGCATTCGCGGAATATTCGCCAGATGTAGAAGCACCTTAAAAGGTTCGCGCGAATTTCAATTTAATTTAATATTGTATAAGTTTTTGTAGAACGTAGAAGTGCTTTTGGCGCCAGAGCACAGTAAAGTATGTATTTAGGGATAAAATTGACGTTACACTCTGTAAATAGTAATTTTTAGTTTTATTTCATTTAAAGATAAAGTGAATGAAAAATAAAATGAAATGAACGACTTTGTTAAATTAATTGCCACACATGATAGTAGA